ACCCTCACCACACCAGGCCTTGCTCCAGTGCAGGCAAGTTTTGTGAGACCCCTGGGCTGCCTGCCCCCCCCCCCTCCACAGCCTGCCCCCCTGCCCATCACTCACCCACCCACTCTCCCACCAGCCCTACCGCCTCCTGCCACCCAAGTTGTACCCAGGCTAAGAGTCTCCTTTAACATGTCCTGGCAGCACCTCCTGCCCCCACAGCCCCTCTTACCCCCCCACCCCCTCATACAACATGCACTCATACACATTCTGCCAGCCCTGCTCCAGCCAGCAGCTGCTGAAGCTGTTGAGCAGGAGGGGAATTGGGAGGGTGGGGTGCAGGGATTGAGTTACCAGAGGCTGATGGGGTGGGCTGTCACCCAATCCCTTCCCCAGCTAGTCCTCCTCCCTGGGCACCGTCTCACTCACCCACCTGCTTCCCTCCCACCTCTGGCTGGCAGCCTACTGCCCGTTAAGCCCCTCCACCCCCACTCCACCCAAGCCAGAAAAGAGATGTTCAAGAGTATTTGTCATGCTAAGACCAGCCCAGGATATGAGAGAAAGAGAGAGACAGAGACAGAGATGGACAGAAGGAATAATTCCTGTGCCCAGCGCTCTGCCTGCAACCACAAGACCGAGGTGTGTATATCTCTGTGATAAGCCGGAAGGGGACAGAGTAACTCCCCAAGTCCCAGGGGAGTAGATGGGGCCCAAGGGGGGTTGACAGGCTGAACAACCTCAATCCATTTGCACTATTGATTTCTCACACACTGCAGCAGGCCTGATGGGGGGGGCATGATAAATCAGCCCCCCAGAGACAGAAATTGAGTGGAGCGGGGGGAGGGGCTCCTTCACCACAATTTGCGGCCCAGTGAGATGGACTTGGGGGCAGGGGGTGGGCGGCAGGGGAATAGGTTGAGTGGCAGGAGGCAGGGGTGGGGGAGTGGGTGTTGCATTAAGACCAGTCCCAGCATCTCCTTCCAGCTGGATCTGAAGCTGATTGGAAGAAAGAGGGTACACAGGCAGGGCCCCCGAACAACTCCAGGGGGCGCCACTGACATCGTAGTTGATGGAATGGCACCTCCTGCAGCCATGCAACGTGGTGGCCCTGGGAAAGAGGCTGAGGCAGGAGCCTGAATTTGAGGGACCACAATTCTCCACTGTCCTTTCTCCCTGCAGCACCTCAGCCCCCTTCTTCCAGCCTGAAGGGGGGCTCGCTTCTGACTTGGGATTCGATTCGGAGCCTCTGATAATCTCCCCGCTCTTCAGCCTGCTCCCCTCCTTTGGTGAGGGGATTGGCACACAACCACCATGACGCAGGCGTGGCAGGATGGGGG